TCTTTGATGTTGCTCTTAAACAAGGAGGAGCTATAGATTATTAAGTGTTGTACATATGCCATCAACGTTAATAAATCATTTACTTTCTCAGGGTGACCTTATAATTATGAAACGGTGCAAAAGCCGACACTATCTTTAAAAAATTCATAAAAAATTCGAGGTGAAGGATAATGCGACCAAAATTTGGATGCGGAGGTACATTGTGATGAGGAATCTTTCTATGTTTGTCAAAAAATTCCGTTCCGGCTGCTTTCCCCAGAATCGCAAGAATCGAGGGTGACCTTATAATTATGAAACGCACTGTGTATTCCTGGTCAAAACCAGCCTCCCCATGAATCCATGTGCACGCTGACTTTGCAGGACCACGAACGGACAATTTTACCTAATACATACTTGTGGATGCATATTTCAAATGGCCTGAAATCGTCCAGATGTCATCTACATCTTTAACGTCTACTATCGAAGTGTTGAAGGACATCTTCGCTGAATCTGGGAACCCTGCGACTCCTGTTACGGACAGGGGACGCAGTTCACATCTTCACTGCTCGCCCGGTTCTGCCGTTCCTGAGGCATCACACACATTCGTACGCCACCGTTCCATCCGCAGAGCAATGGACCGACTGAACGCTTTGTTGTTACCTCCAAACGAGAACTCGTCAAATTGAAGGGGAGGGCCGACAATAGACGCTTTCCGAATGTTTCTGAAGGCTTACCGCTTCACTCCATGCCCGTCTGCACCGAACCAACGCTCACCTCCGAAGCCTTTCTGAGACGCCGGCTGCGAACCCATCTTGATCTGATGCTACCTCAAAAAGGCGTCGATAAAGAATCTCGAGACGTCAAAATGGAAATGCAGTTCAATCGAAGATGTAGTGCATTACGTCGCAAGTTCAAACTCAGTGACACTGTCTCCGCCAAGGACTACAGTGAAACAAAGCAGACTTGGACTCCAGCTGTCATCGTTCGACGTTTTGAAAACACAACTTACATGTGCCTTGTGGAAAACTGCTATAGGTCCGACACATGAACCAGCTGCGACCTAGAAGCGACGCAACCGCGAAAACAACCACAAACACTCTTTTGGACGTGTTCGATTTACTACCCTTTGATTGTAGAAGCAAAGACCGTGCGCTGCGGACGACTCCGACCGATCGATCCACCACGACGATCGCAACGCACTCGACGATCGCAAAGCCGACTACAGCTGGACTCTAGGAGGCTCGATACAATACAACTCAACTCACAGCTGAATGAAGACGGTGTTTATGTGAAACGGATTGGAATCTGGTGCTGCTTTCACGCTGAGCAAGGAAGATGTTGTAGGATATTATTGATCTATTTCAATAAGACATGTTATCATAGACTTTGCGAAACCGCGCATTGTACGTACTTTACGGAAGCAGAATGAATATGCTGTCAGCGATACTAAATACGCTGTGGAAAGGGACGCTCGGAATTTCTCTGTTCACGCAAATGCAGAATGTAGTCTGGAGTTCCGAGCTCGGCCATTGGACAAAGATCAGGGATGCCGTTGATTACGCGAAGAAATCGACGATCAGGCCGGACACGTTATGCGATATCGTGACGATCGTTGGACCAAGGCGGTTACTGACTGAATCCTCGGAATGAATGGAATGCTGGGCCTCGTGTCCCTGAAGAGAAAACGATTCACTGGCCCACTCTGCCGCGCGACAGGGACAAATGGAGACGTTACTGGCGCCCGCTCAAAGAAGTCGGCGATCAACGGGACGGCAGGTGAAAGGCAGTGATGTGATACAAATGTTGGATTTGAAGGGACGCTTAGCCAAATGCCAGATTGCAATCCAACCATATAGCATAGCTACCGAATACCGTGCAGAGAAATGCAACACATTCTGTGGCTACGAAAATCAAGCACAATCAAAAGTTTGTGTGCAGTGTGTGTGCTAAACGGTTTTCCATACATATAACTCTTTGTGTTTCAGTATATGAGAAGAGCAAATTCTTGTTCCAGATATTTAGATGCAATCCAATATATAATCATTTCATGAAATTCATTCTCAAGGTTGCAGTCATAGATTCATTATGACCCAATGTGTATCAAAGTGTTGCATTGGTCATGAATACATGTCTTTTAGGCTAGAAAGTAATAACAACGCCTCCGAAACACAACACTCGTGAAGAATTAAGAGATCTACAATCATGCTGTGACCATACCAGCGGATTCACACCGATATCATTGGACCGCTACCATAATGTGAGGATGGAGGCTCAGGATATTTCGTAATCGTGGGCGCCAAAATTCAGGAACTTTTGAGGCAGAGGAACTTCATCATTTCCATTCATTCGTTATTAATTAATTATGCAAGTACGTTTTCTTGCAATCTACATGATAAACGAGCTAAGACTTCACAGACCTCTTGCGAATACAATATTGACCGTAGAGAAGGCTATCAAACGATGCAGAGAAGCAGATTCAAGCAAAAGTGGAAGCGGGTAGAACAGTGATCCCAAAGATAGGACCTTCATTTACCATAAGTTTTCCATCCTGCTGCCTCTACTCCCATCAAATGCCAACGGACTTGATGAAAATTTTCAATCTTGGCTCGGGCTCCGCTCCATGTAAATAACGTCCATTTCTTCCACTTCTAACATCAGGGTTCCCACATTTCTGCCCCTAGTTCTGGCGAATTTCAACCCCTCGGTAAAACTAACATTTTTGTTGAAGCTACACCCTCTGTGATCAGAGTCTTTTTATGCAACCTACTCTTAGCTTTCCATCCTGCTGCCTCTACTCCCACCAAATTTGTACGTCCTAGGTGAAAATTTCCAATTTTGGATTAAGTCAGCTCAGAAGGTTTCTGACTCATTTGAAAGCAGATACGCATCCCTTCATCGGTTTTCCTGACAAGAAAATTTCACGTGAAGGCCAATCCTTAACAAATAAAATGGTAACGTTCTGGCCAGAAACATGGAGAATGCAATCTTTCACGGAAAATTTGTATTAAGGAAACAATGGTACGACACCGTTAGTTTTGTCGATACCGGCGTGAAAATTAGCAAATACGTGTACTCAAAGACCATACTGATAAACGTACTGTACCAGTGATAACACCCCCTTTCTAAAACAGCCCATAGCCTTTTCAACAGAACATTACTTCACCCAACAGAACCAGGCTCGTCTGACAATGAGAGTGTTGCCGACGCCAGCCGCCTGATTCCCTTACCACACAGGGAATTTCCCTTCTGATCCGAGTTCTTAAGCCAAATGTCTCCTCCGTACTATTCCTGACTAGGAGGGAACCTGTGGAGTTTGACATCTTATTTTGAATTCCTTGAAGGCAAGATTCAAGACCGGCTGGGTAAACATGGAGGGGCACCTGCGTGCAACATGCGGGTTTGAGAACAGAAGCGGCTATTGGTGCTGGAGGTCATTTTGGAATGTGATTCTAGCTTGTTATTGTACACCAGTCGGGCCGCCTGGCTAACGCAGGGGCTTCTCTCCTTTTCATGATAGAGATGTAATAATCAGCTAATGGCCCGCTCCTTTTGTGGAACATATGGTACTCTTTGTAACACGAGACTTGCCAGAGGACTGGCAAGGCATTTAAGTGGTATTCAGTGTAAGCCGACGCTTATGTCCACAAATGGAAGTCTCGATGTGCTGCAGTTCATCTTGATAATAATGACCCATTGAAGGTTCGACTGGACCGAATTGAACATTTCGCTCACGCCACACCCCTTGGGAGCGGTGGGCAGTCCTGCCACCCACCATCAGCGTTCCCATCTTGCTTCCTGTACCCCTACCTAATTTTAGCGCTCTAGGCCCAATTTGCTCATGCCCCGCCTCCTGTGGGCGGAGTCCGATCCTGTCACCCTCCGTTGGTGTTCGCATCATGCCGGTTGTACTCCTACCAGATTTGAATTCTCTAGGTCCTCAGGAATCGGAGTTATGAATTTCTGGTCAAACCACACACACGCACACACAGACAGACAGACAGACAGACAAACAAACCAACAGACACACTTAGCGCGTTATATATATTAGGTTGGAAGGAAAGTCCTGCGACACAATGAAGGTCTTATTCAAGTCATTTCTGAAATTTTCCAGGGCAATCAATTTTCGGAAATATGTTTACCAAAGAAGTTAACAACCTTCTGTTTTTCTTTGAGTAAATCACTTGCCTTTTATCCAGGAGTGAGGAAGCTGTGACAAAGAAGTAATTGACTGCCGACCACAGATAATATTAAGTTACGATATTTTTCCCGCAACGGGATGCTCAAAAAGGCGGAGCGCATGGTAGGTAAAAGGGGCAACACTTGGGGAGCACGACTGATGAACAACCTGGAACCAATTGGAATCGTAGAACTTTTGACGCGTGTTTAAAGCGGAATTTCGACGCGCGTTGACCCTCTGTAAGGACCTGATTTACGGTTTTGATCGTCCTTCTCTAACCCCGCTGGCCAAATTTCGGGGTTCATAGGGGTAACCGATAGCTGTGTCCATCTAGTCTGCGTTTAGCATTTCATAGTGGATAGATCCTTTCAACCTCCTTCAAATTAAGGGACGATGCTTGCGTTACTTCAAAAGCTAGTATCTCCTCCAGTGATGCGATCCAACCGATTGTTGACCGCTGATCGGTGAGCAGTGCCAGCATTGAATAGGTTGCTGATAATTTGAGCCGCTACACCCACGTTTTTCCCCTGGCGCGCTTAGTAGAAGGTGATGGTACGAATCGGGTGTTCTCCATTTATTGACCGCAATGCTGCTAAAGCCCACACGCGTGCTCTTATTTACTCATATGTTGATTACCTGAGGAATGTCCTACAAGTTTATCACTCTTGCTACCGTGTTCACACAGTTGATACAAATTATTGACGCTTCAAATTTTTTGTCGCAGGACTTTCCTTGCAGCCTAATAGTAGGATAACGTAGGCAAATGTGTGCACAGATTTCATTGCTATTCTCAGCTGAGAAGCTTGTAATGCATTGCAATGAATAGGCGCCCATAATTGCGACACCCTGTGAATTGAGCCTGATAACAGAGTGCGCCTTCAGCAGATTCGTGATTTGTACTGCGCTAGTGTGCCCAACAAAGAAATCCGTTATTGAAGCGCTGTTAAATTATGTCATTCTAAAACACTGTAGGCTAGAAGAACTTTTTCCGATCGTGAGTCGAACTACACTAGCGGAATATTGGCGGAAATCGGTAGAATTTCAGATATTGAGGACAACTTTGCCTCTAATTATAATCACACAGTGAGTGAACAGGCAGGCTGAAAGACAGGTCCAAGTGGTGATCGACTCAAAGGTGTGCCTAACCTGGAGGATAGAAGTCTCAATCATGAAAATGATAGTGTCTGAAGTAAAAATGCATACACGAAAAAACAGAAGTGAGCATTTGAAATTAAAATTGAAATTGAAAGGATTCCATCATAGAATGTCGCCTGCCTAGATAAATTCCCATCTTTACCAGCAGCCAAGCATGATAGTCGGTTCCCCTTGTACTTGTAGTAGAAGAAAGTTTCCGGTTTTCAGAAGACATTACATTCATAGAGAGTGCTTTCAAAATAAATAGCTTGCCATCTTATAGGACGGCTACCTCATCAACGTGGACTCCAGATTAACAATTGAGAAGGTTCTCGAGAAATCTAAATGAATAATCTTTAGGACCCTTGTGCGACTAGCTGGCTACTTTTTCGGAGAGGAGAGAAGGATCAGAAGGCGGGGGGGGGGGGGGGGGAGTTGCTAATCGAAACAAACACCAGTTAAAATGGAAAATCGTTCTCAGATCAAGAACACCAATATCCTCTATATATATATATAAAGCGCCAACTTTGCGTGTCTGTTTGTATGCCCGTTTGTGTGTCCTCGCAAAAGTCACGCAGGCACGATCAAGAGCGCACATGAGCGCGGTGGGGAAGTAGATCACACGCTAGCCATTTTTTTAAAGAAGAGAGAATTTAGGGTAGGAAACGATTTACATGGGCATCTATTGCATCTGTTAGTATCAGGCATTATCGAACACTCTGCTGACTGTTTTTAACTACATCTCTGATGCGCAATTAAATAATGTTTTGGGGTGTTAATCAATCCCGTCAGAAGGATTCCGCGCATTCGACTTCCATTCAGAATCGTAGTGACGTATTTAATGCGTATGTGGCCTATGCAATGACTTGCGGTGGCCGCCCCATGTACAAGTCAGTGCTTTTCTGCACCTCCGCCCCGATGCACAATTTCCTACAGTCAAACTAGAACAACATTTTCAATATGAATGTAATGACAGCTACGCTCTTGAAAGAATATTTTGCTCTAGAGTGCTTAACTCTAATGCGCGATTTCCAGGAATGAAACTCGAGGGGGATTTCGGGTGAAGCAGTGCCGTTTATGCGGAACATGAAAATGTTTTACTGCTCTTCTCGAGTGAAATCGTAAACCAATGCATAAGAATATTGCGAAGGATTCGAAAAGGAGAATCTCTCGTCCTGGAAGGGAATGAGTGACTGTAGGTTCCTCGTCAGCTTCGAAGAATGGTAAAAGGTTATTCTGGAAAATTCAAGTGTTGAAGACTAGACCTGGATTGCGTTAATCGAATCATGAGTTAAACTTCAACACCTCTCCAAGATTAACTTTCCTCAGTTTTTCACTGAATACCATACCACTTGGTGGTTGAAGCAATACAGTCGGGAGGCAATCAAGCCACCGTAGTCTGTAGTAGAAGAAGATGTTGGAGAGTAAAGCATGGTGTTTCCTCGGAATCTTAGGAATGTGCAGGCTGAAACTGCTTGTTCTACCACTGCTTGGGTAGAACACCCAATATTTGCTGGATCTTAATTTAGTTTTGTCCCTTAAGATACGAAATGACAAGGTCAAGTCAGCTTATATTCTCCTGTGGATTAGTCCAAGCGTTTTCAAGCTTTCTGCGTAACTTAGCAAACTAATATGATTGGTGCTAGATAAACACCTGAAATACAGTAGTCTTTGAAAAGTCCGTTGTACTTTCTCTAACTTAGATGTATCCTTTTTGCGGACTCGATTCCATATGGAGGAGCAGTGCTCAAGATGGGGAAGAACGGGAGGTTTGTATGAAACAAGAAGTCTTGAGTTTTTGCTCAGGAAATCTCGAAGGATCAGATAGATGACGCTGAACGTTTTTTTAGACATCTTTTAACGTGGTCGGAAAATTTCAAGTTTGAACTCATGAGAACTCCAAGCTGTTTCACTGTGTCACATGTTCTCCATTTAACACCGTCAATTTAATAGTCTGTATCACCTCCTTCTCCAATATAGAATGCAGCACATTTACTCAAATTGAGAGACAATGCCCATGTCGTAGCCCATTCTTTCGTTTTCATTATCGACTGCCTCAAAGCTGATTGGACTTCTTGCCGACTGTCTTTGTCGTAAGCCGCATAAATTTTCATGTCGCCTGCGTACACTTGAACCTCAATATCCATTGAGGTTCTAATGAATGCAGGAAGATCGATGATGTAGATTAGGAACAGTAGTGAAGATAAAACATTTCCCTGATGGACACCACTGAACCAGCTATGGCTGAAAAGCTGTGTGGCCCACCTTTACAGTCAAAAAATCGATTATCAAAACATGATTTGAACCACTGCAGAAGTTGCCCAGTCACATTCTCTGAGGACTAAACGCCATCCTAATTCTCTCCTAGATAGATATATTCAGGGGCAGAGACCAGTCAAAATGCAGTCGAGGAGATCGGTTGTCGTTGATGCCCCATTGAGAAAACCGTGCTGCTCATGTGGAATAAGTCCAAATCTATGGAGCCATGACAGGAGTTTATCCCTAATTATTCGTCTCATCACTTTGGCTGGGGTAAGCGTTATACTTATGGGGCGGAATTCTGAGAGTAAATGACTCCTAGGAGTTTTCGAAACAATAGCTTCCTCCACAAATTAGGAACCTCACCTAGAAGCACAGATATGTTCAAAACATGTGATAGTGGATGACAAAGTGAAGTGGCGCATCTCCTGTATATAATTTGAGGAATACCATCGTGAATTCGGAAGTGGAAGGTGTGAGACTCTTCAAAATTTTGTAAACTTCGTGGGGGTCGATAAAAACTTCGAAAAGGCGTTGCGGAATCTCACAAAAGCCGTACGATAGTACTTCATCATTGGTGCTATCAACTGTAAACACACTTGTGAAGTACCTTCCTAAAGCATCAAGTTTTTCTTTGTCAGAGGTTAGAGAAGGAGTGCCGGAGATATGCAGGGTTGGCCATAATTTTAGCGACAAAACTTGCCGCAGTTAGCGTACATTCTATCGCGCACATAACGCGCCAGTTTTATGGATTTTTCATTTTCATCATTTTTTCTAAATCCTATCAAAATTTGGTTAAATTTGGTGCATTCATAGTGAAATGGTGAAGCCTTCTCCTGATCGTTCCGCTACCGTTCATCTGCACAAAGCCGGCCGCCCACCCACCTTGATCGCTAAGCACCTCGCCATCCGCCGCAGCGTCGTGTATCGCACACTCCAATGTTATCAAAACCTTGGTGGACTCCAAATTGCCGAAGAAGTGGAAGACCTCGTACTGCTCGCACGCCGAAGGTCGTCGATTTCGTCAGAAAGCGGATAGCAAGAAACGCGATTCGGAGCATCTCGACAATGGCTCGCGACATGGGAATCTCGCGGAAGTCAATGGAAAGGGTCGTCCACGAAGACCTTAAGATGTACCCCCACCGGACTCAGAAGGCTGCTATCCTCAGCGCCTCAAATCAGCAGACGCGAGTCAAGAAGTGCCGACAGCTTTTGCTTCGGACGCGCAATAAGGGCCACCATTCGATTGTCTTTTCGGATGAGAAGCTCTTCACCGTCGAGCAGCAGTTCGACTCTCAAAACGTCAGAGTGATCGCAAGGAATGCCGAGGAAGCCGACTAGAAGGGAGGAGTCGTTCACCGGGCCGCACACACTGCCCAAGTCATGGTTTGGGCACGGGTGTGTGCCTCGAGGAAGGGGTGCGCTTCGTTGCGCGTGTCCGTCGAAACTAGGTCACGCCGCAGCCGACGCACGCGGCGGTGGGCCCGCGATATTTGACAGACGTCGCAATTGTCACTGGGGCATACGCTTTGCGTTTGGTCCACGGCAGTCAGTTCAACAAGAAGATAACACAGACAAATGCAAATCATTTGCTCCAGCGACACTTGGTATTACTGTAATGTCATCTCGAGACCTCAATGTGATGCGCCGCGCGCGAAGTGTCCGGGGTGACCTACTTTCGACGGACACGCGCAACGGACGTTCTCCTCGGGAAAGACGCCGTTGATATTCGTCGACCCCGGCGTCAAAATTGGCAAAGATTACTACCTAAAGACGATTCTGGAAGATGCTCTACTCCCGTGGGCGAATTCCAACTTCAACGGCCGCCCGTGGAAATTCCAGCAAGATTAGGCGCCCGCCCACAAGGCCAAGGTCGTCCAAGTGTGGTGTAAGAGCGAACTCCCCGACTTCATCTCGGCAGAAGAATGGCCGGCATCGTCACCGGATTTGAACCCACTGGACTATAACTTGTGGTCCTACCTCGAGGGCAAGGGCTGCGCCACTTCTCACCCCAATTTGGATTCTCTGAAGGCAGCGTTCACCCGAGAATGAAACGAAATCGACGACGCACTCCTGCGCCCGGTCATCGACGCCTTTCCCAAGCGACTTCGCGTTGTCGTCCGTGTCAAAGGTGGCCGAATCGAGATGTAACTTATGATTGTTAATGTACCAGTTGTTACATAATAAATGTTATGTTCATGATTCGTTTGCACTTTTGCTTTCTAAGATATAAGGTGAAAATCTTGTCGCTATATTTATGGCCTACCCTGTATAGCTGAAACTTGGCTTTTTGTCTGATGTAGTTTAAGAGCTCTTTCGTTCTGGTTCTGGAAAGAAGACGTCTTTCCTCATAAACTGTGAATTTTTCAAAATGGTAGTCAAGGTCCGAGCAGATCCTTCCATTAAGAGGTGATTGCATTGAATGAGATAGAAAGACGTCGCTTTAGATCGAGTAAGTTCAATTCGTGACGTGGATAGCTTAGCCATGATGGGCGAGGGAACTTAAAAGGAGCAAAACACGACATGGCACTGTAAATCGGAGAACTGAACTTCTGTAGGCATCGCTCGCAGAGAAGTAATTATCAAAAACAGTGAGCCAGTCCAGGCGTTGTACGTAAAGGTTTATGAGTTTGAAATCAGTTCTAAGGAAATCTGGCACGGCAGTTGTTGATAGATTCAGTGCGGACCACAGTGAATGCAACGGCAATGTGGTCAAAATTACCGAAAGGAGATAGAATTGAGCAACTGGCGAAGTAGAAAGGATAAGATCTAGGATATTACTTTCAGGAGTGGGATGATAGACCATTTGTGTGAAACCGACATTCTCAAAGAAAAGAAGTCAAGGAATGGAGCTGAAGATAAGATTAGAGCCTTTTTCTCTCCCCAGTCGATTCTGAGATTAAGATCACCTGAGATAATGGTATGGCGCCTGGTAGAGCTCAAATCGGAAAGCAGGGGAGAAATTGAGGATCATCAATTGCAGTAGAATTTGGAAGACGGTAAACAGCGAAGAAACTTACTGTATACAGGACATCAGAAGTACAGGGTTCACTAGATTAGACATCGGAGTTGAATGTGTAATCAAGAGCGATGTTTCTGGGAACTGAAAGGGAGTTGATCACGCAGCAGACCCTGCCACCTTCTCTCCCTTCTCGGTCACGGCGATAATCAAAGTAAGGTGAATTAGCAATTAGTTCTGAACCGGCTACGTGGCTATTCAACCAAGTTTCCGTGATGATCACCATATCAGGTTTTTCAGTATCAAAAATGCATGCCGGTCAGAATTTTATTCGTTAGGCTTCGAGCGCTAAAAAGAAAACAATGCAAGATATTCAGATTGCCGTGCTTACTCAGAGTTCCCCACTTTTTGAGATTGAGAAAGATCTGACATCTTTCAGAGTTCTCCCCTGAACACGACCCACTCACTTTCCGACTTCACTCTATTCCGTTCTCTTACCTCCTGCCGTAGCTCGTATTCGGGTCTTCGTTCCTCAGCTGTCATGCTCTTTCTTACAAACAAATTGGCTAAGGCCGCGGACGTCAAGTTCTTGGCGTTGGCCAATACAGTTCGCCAGTGAGCCTTGAAGGGCACAGAATTTTCACCAGCCTGGGGCGAGAGGGTTCAAGCTTCCTTATCCTGTAGATTTCTACTTGGCAGCACTCATCCTGCAAAATATCGAGTGGGCCAGCCACCCTATTTTCGAGATTCTTCTGGCGTTCCGAGGGTTCGAGTTGATGTGGTGCCATGTGAATACCGCTCACCACCATGCTTCTTGATCGTTCCTCGCCCTAACTTGCTCAAATATTTCAATTGTGATTTTTCCAAAAGAACATGAAGCATTTTGCCGGCAACCCGGTCGGTATTGCGCTTAACGAGCGCAGAAGCTCGCTCACGCTCAGCTTTCTGGATCCTTTTCATCTAGACTAGCCTCTAAATTAAAAACTCCCATGAGCTATCACCTTGGGACAAGCCATCTGACACAGTTTCTCTACGCCTAGTTGTGCGATTAACCTTAGGGGGAGGCATGATATGGTAGATATAATGACGAGTGGTCAACATCGAGGAAGAGCGCACCAAAAAAAAAACCAGAAAAAACTCGAATTCGCAGGCTGTTTGATGTGTTTAGAAAACTAGAAACGGAGCATAAACAAAAAAGAATTTGGGAAAGCAGTCAACAAGAGAAGTGATAGGCAGAAACTCAAATAAAAAGAAAAAGAGAGAGCAACGAGAGGAAGCGAAAGCACAGCCATCCACGACGTCGGGATGATGAGAATAATGAGTATTGTCTGTAATTTCGGTGATTCCTGCTATAAACGGCTTGAAAACATCACGGCATAAAAAAGGATACGATCTGCAATGCAAGGTATACCCAGTTACATTTCTTTGAGATATATAGTGGTTTACAACTAGTCCAACTAATCGCCTCAGGTGATACTTTCACTAAGTATCTCCTAAGATGATACCGGTGGCATAACCTATCGGTATCTTGAGTGTGCAACCAAGCATAGCATTGCCGTTGATGCGGTGGGCTCTTTTATGCCATCGATTGTACTCGTGCCGTCCATTAGCGATACGGTATCTGGGCCGCCCACATTCATACCTATGTAAGCTTTCGAATTTATATATCATCGGCCATCGTTAACACGTCGTAGTAAACTTTTACATTGGTACAGCAAGACTCATAGTTCATAAATCGAATTGATATATCACCGCTGGAATCTAACCCCTTTCTGCACTAAATCTCCACAGTAGAGAAAGAGTAAAGCTTAATTCCGAAAACCCCTTGAGGATTACTGAAATCAGCAGGCACTCCTTTTCCAGCTGCTGGAAACCCTAGGAAAGCTAGATTCCTTCACAAATATTCCCTAAAAGCGGAATCAAGGAAGATATTCACCTGGTCGCCCTCAGAAAGGGAAGAAAAGTTTGTTTTTCTACCAGATGGAATTAACCATTTCAGATTTTTCGTGGTATCCTTCTCTGAGGAACAATGAATCTCACAGAAATCGTCTGAGCTAACTCTCTTGGAAAACAGACGATCTAGCTACTTCTTCTCAACAGATTAGTAAGAGATATCAAAAACCCCTCTTCACTGACCCTTCTGAGGAGGTGGGAGTCAACAGCAAACTTCTTAACAACTTTTGGTGAGAAACAAGGACTCGCGTGGCAAAAGCAACTGTATTGCGGTACCAAGGAACGTTCAGAACAAGCCAAAACCAACACAACACATGCGTCCAAGAAACCATAGAAGATATCAATGGAGGAACAGAGCTCAATGATCGCGAAAAACTCACGCCAAACCTGAATAAGCACGTGAAAGTAAAATCGAACATGCTGGAAGTCGTCATCATGCAGTGATTGAATAAGATCAAGTTCAGAAAAAAACGAGACTGATGAAGTGCACTGGTGACTTCGTCTTAACAAAGCAGTAAACACACTGTAAGTATCACTGGCCATCAAGAAAAGCCCCATCGGTGCGACAATGTCACAGGAAGGCAACCTTCGAGGCAACGCCCACTACTTGTGGTCCCTACATTCTCTAAAAGCTATAGGGAATTAAGCACCATTCATTCAGTATTTGAGTCGTTCATTCACATCGATGACTTAAGCGACCAAAAATTCCCATTCCGAAACATGCACTCGAAGAAAAAGCAGTTACCCCAATTAGCAGAAGCCTGGTAATGGGAGAAATTACATTAACGCCGTTATTATACCGAAGAAACATAACAATCGATCTGCAAGCATCTTATGAAAGAAATTGTCTACCGCTAGCTCGAGGGAACTCGAAAGTTGTTGCTGAACCCTCGCAGCAATTTCTTCAATAGTCACACATCTTGAACAGAAGGAGACATCAATGAACGTCAATCGAATGTGAAGATATCTAGCGCCCTCGCAATTCACACGACCGATCTGCACACAGTTACCAGGAAAAAAGCCAGACTGGAATTCCACTAAACGAGATTATTGAGTCCGGACACCAATGACATTCGGGTTCGACCAGATAGAAAGGACAATGCATTCAACAGGAGAGGTACTCGAAGAACAAAACGACCTCTGGTCACAGCATGAAAAGGTCGCGGAAATGCATCTTGCACTTTGCCACAGATTCGTTTCACTAGAGTGCAGAGCCGAAGCCAAAACACAAAGGCACAGATGCTTCAACAGAGGCACAATTCGAGACAATGCTTTGCTGTTGCCAAATTATAAAAAATGTAACGAGGCCATTCATCACCTAGCACCCCTACTGAAAGCAGATCACAACTAGCAAAGCTCCACCTCCAATTGATCTGCTAGTCCTCAAACAACCACAAGGGTCGTGATCGGCAATTCATCACCACTCAAAACAGCCGTCATAAGTGCATAACCAGTAATAAGGAAGTAGCCGAGGCCTTCCTAGCCACAGCTTCTCAGGTGAATATAACAACCGAGCGTAATCAACTAGCTTGTGGTGAGCATGCGCTACGAATAACTTCAGTTCAAATTTTTGTTGAATTACATATGGATCGACAAACTATAAACCCCCTCCTAGATTCGGGATTTCATAGAAGCTCTATCATTTCATCACTTGGAACATCGTTTAAGCTACCGTTGTCCAGTAACAATTATTTACTGCTGTAGAGATGGGAGGGCTAAGAAAAAACTTCCAAATCGACAATGCCCGGATTACATTGAGAAGATGCCACAGATTGAAAAACTGCAGCATAGATTAGTCTCCACCAAGGCAAATTAACAAATGATACAATTACTGCAGATCTGTCGAGAGCAGAAAGGAGCTCCATGGAAGTGAGGAAAACTGTAATTGCAGGGAGGACTCTCCTCCCAGCAAATGTTTCCTGATCTACTTGTTGGACAAGACATACTACTTCGGTTCTCGACCACAATTCGGCAGTTATC